AGAGAGAGAAAGAGAAAACCACAGAGAGAAACGAGGTAAAGCCAGAGAGATACGAGAGAATAAAACGAGAAAACGAGGAGAGAGAGAGAGAGAGAGAGAGAGAGAGAGAGAGAGAGAGAGAGAGAGAGAGAGAGAGAGAGAGAGAGAGAGAGAGAGAGAGAGAGACGAGAAAACGAGAAAACGAGAAAAAAGAGAACAAGATTAGAGAGTACGCAAAGACCATACCCATACCTTTAATTTCAGTAGCAAGGATCCAAAGTAGAAAACAGCTTTTCCTTGTCATCAAGTTGTGTGTGTGTGTGTGTGTGTGTGTGTGTGTGTGTGTGTGTGTGTGTGTGTGTGTGTGTGTGTGTGTGTGTGTGTGTGTGTGTGTGCGCGCGCGCACGTCTGTCTGTCTGCCTATGCGTCAGTGCTAATGTGTATACAAATCCTTCAAATCTCAAACGGGTCGTGGATGATGAATATAATCCTTCCTGTTTATGCCCAACATCGGGAGATGACCAAACATCGCGCCCATCGTTAACCCCGCCCCCCCCCCCCCCCTACTACCCCCATCCCCCCAGCTTGTACTACCCCCCCCCCCACCCCCTACTCTCACTCATTGCTAGGCCACGGTTCTCTGTCGTGTGGCGAGGAGGTCCTAAGGGCCCGTCTTAAAGATAGTGAAGGCCTCATTTAGGTAAGATAACGTGAGCGATTTTCACGTGGGAATCTTTAGCAGTGAATGACGTCACTATACACCTCTCCACAACGGCATAGTCCGGTAGATACGGCCACTACGCTGCGCCATTTTTTCCTTCCCTAGCCGTTGACGCACATGACCATTAGCATAATGGAGAGAAGGAGAAGACCTGTTTTGACCTGTTTGACCGCAAATGAACGACAGACGTATACTCAGACGTTCATGTCAGGTTCATCCTAGGTGACTGCCCGTCATTTGTCATCTGCAAGAAAGTGAATGTGACGAGGGAGTTAGAAGTGAACGTGGTGAGAGAGCTTGGAAGTGAACGTACGGATGGAGTTTAGAAGTGAACGTGACGAGGGAGCTTGGAGCAGAACGTGACGAGGGAGTTTGGGCTGAACGTGACGAGGGAGTTTGGGCTGAACGTGACAAGGGAGTTTGGGCTGAACGTGACGAGGGGGCTTGGGCTGAACGTGACGAGGGAGTTTGGGCTGAACGTGACGAGGGAGTTTGGGCTGAACGTGACGAGGGAGTTTGGGCTGAACGTGACGAGGGAGTTTGGGCTGAACGTGACGAGGGAGTTTGGGCTGAACGTGACGAGGGAGTTTGGGCTGAACGTGACGAGGGAGTTTGGGCTGAACGTGACGAGGGAGTTTGGGCTGAACTTAAGGAGGGAGCTGATTATTGGTATTTCCTCGTGTAATGAAATTAACCAATTGTCAAATTTCATGTCTTGACCCTTCTGATGCCGTATATTCGGTTATGTTTTTTTTTCAACAATTTGTAGTGTGGTTTCCCCATCTGGCACTGAAGTTTTCCATAGTAGTAGATAGTTTTCATCTCTTGAAAAGGAAATGAAAATAGAAAAGAAAAAAATAAATAAATAGAAAAAAAGAAGGATAATATATATATATTCCACCCACACGTAACTTCGCTTTAGTTGACTGGAGTTCTTGTCATTATTCATTAACAGACCCATTTTTTTTTTACTTATTTATTTATGTCTCTAGTTTCCAGTTGAATTAAGCCTCGTAATGTTTAGTATCTCGGTATTGAATTTCATATTTTTTTCCTTGCCCATTTGCAAACGTCTTCTAAATCCGCAGATGCACTTCCTGTATTATATGTAAGATGTTACTCTCGGGTCTTGATGTAACTCTTAGGACGTCTTGGGCGTACAAAGGAGAAGCGACCACAGGAAACGGCATATTAATTCATTTCTGGACGCCCATATCGGAAGGCGTGTCTACCGGCTTCAATCTATTGACAGAGAGAGAGAAATATATGACAAGATGTTGATGTAGCCTGTGGTCAGTCTCGATCCTTCCGTTTGATTTATGGTTGGCACAGGGAAAGGAATGTTTCACGTTATGTGTAATAGCTTTGACAGTTGTTTGTTTTGTTTTTGTTTTTCTTCTCAGATAGGTATATTTGGGTTACTTATGCACGTTTTATTTTATTTTATTCTAACTACAGAGACTGTTTTTGTGATTTTGATTATTTGGTTGAGGTAAAAAAAAGAAAAAAAAAATCTAGGAGTTTGTGAGTACCTTGTAACACCGGGCCTGTTAATAGTTTTTTTTCCAATTTATCAGATTGGCGTTGGTCTCAAGGTTTCCTTCAAGTACTTGCCTTCTTTGAAAGCACCGTCAGCTCCAATTTATTTTTCAAATTATGATTTTTAAAAATTATTTTATCGTTATTTACTCCTCTTTTTTGTGGGGGGTTACTACTACTTACCTCTCATTTTATTCTGTATTGCAGATAAGCACGCTACTTGATTTACATACCTCTTTTTGTACTCTAGGTTCTTCTGCCTTAATTTCATTTGATTTCAATCTGTATAGTATGTTATATTATCATTCGGTGTCTCTCAACTATGTATCGACATTTCTGTTTAATTATTTGTTAAAGAAAAACATATGTATTGTTTTTTCACTATCTTATGGTTTAACTGGACGGCCGTTACAGTCTCCTATTATTGTTGATGTTACTTTCACCGTGAAGATAGCCAATTACTATGGCATTATTCCACGATCTCCATCACTATTACCATCATCATCGGTATAAATTTTATACTTTGTCAACCCTACTGTCCACCTCTTTGTATTTTTTTGTTAGATTTCTTCTTTCCTCTGCAGGAATGATAAAAGTAACACTGAGCTTTGAGAACTTTTAATGAGAACTGACCTTTGGGAAAACAACTAAAAAGTGAATCAAGTTCTCCCGTGATCGCCATGGTTTTAGAAGGGAGTGGCATTGTGTTGAGAATCATGGCTGGCGAAATGCATTGTTGAATGTGCAGAGGTTTGGAAACTCTTGCGGTAGTGTCAGGCGTTGACTTGAGTTGTCATACATTTTTTTTAATGTTGTTTGTAGATGGCTGGCGACTGGCTGGTTCTGAAGATGTCTCCGAAGAGAAGGTTCAGCAAATTCCTCAACATGTTCGGACACGGGAACTTCTGGTGCATGATGTACCTGAATGAACTTTTCAACATAAAGACCGAGGGAACGATCGTCAAGGTACGAGGAGATCGAACCCCCTTTGTATTTACAGTTATTGAATATTGTTTTTGAATAAGGTGATGTTATGTTTTCAGGAGAGATTTAAACATGGGAGTAATATAATTGGTGTAACCACGTATTGTAACCGTTGCAGGTGTTCGAAGACGGAGGAGCAGTAGTCGAGGTGACGCTGCAGGTGTTCAGAACTCTGTCCAGTTCCTACGTCCCTCTGGGCATACTCACTGGCCCCTTCATGCCGATTGTGTTAAACCCCACCACTCTCCTTCAGCTGCAAGGCATTGTCACAAGCAACTACAGTGATGACAGTGACATCTTTCTGGCCGAGATGGCGACGCACCGGTAATATACGTTTTGCGGTTTATGTAATAGACGCACTTGCACCCACTCACGCGCGCACACACTTATATGCACATGCATACACACACCTACACGGATATGCACAGCACACGTACACGGATACGCACTCGTATATGCACACGCATACGCACTCATAAATGCACACACATGCGCACACGTATATGTACATGCATACGTACACGTATGCGCACATGCTTATGCACACGCCTACGCACACGCTTATGCACACGCTTAACCCCTCCCCTCCAACGCACACATTTACTCACTTTACTATACATCTACAAACATGCATGCGTACATACATACACACACACACACACACACACACACACACACACACACACACACACACACACACACACACACACACACACACACACACACACACACACACACACACACACACACATACACACATACACACATACACACACACACACACACACACACACACACACACACACACACACACACACACACACACACACACACACACACACACACACACACACACACACCGAACGCACATACATACATACATACTTTCATAGGTACATACCTGCATTGGTACATACGTAAATAGATGGACACATACATACGTAAGCACTGTAGGCCCAGGAAGGTAGAGCTGTTTGAATGGCAGTTGGACGAGTGAGTGGCCTGGCTTCCCTTCCTCTTTCATTTCAGTAGAGCCTTGAACTTTTATTTACTTTATTGAACCAAATAATGCCGGCGCAAAAGATAGCTTGGGAGCTCTGTATGTTGAGTTATTAGTTTTCACAGAATCGCAAGTCTCAGATTTCATTTTCCACTGAGCGGTAGAGGCGACCGTTCTGAAAATCTAGTACGTCTGGTTCTGGAAGATGAAACTGGAGATGGGTGATTCTACTACATATGACATATAGGCATAAATAAGCATCCAGTCCTAGTCTCTCTCTCTCTCTCTCTCTCTCTCTCTCTCTCTCTCTCTCTCTCTCTCTCTCTCTCTCTCTCTCTCTCTCTCTCTCTCTCTCTCTCTCTCTCTCTCTCTCTCTTCTCTCTTTCTCTCTTCTCTCTCTCTCTCTCTCTCTCTCTCTCTCTCTCTCTCTCTCTCTCTCTCTCTCTCTCTCTCTCTCTCTCTCTCTCTCTCTCTCTCTCTCTCTCTCTCTCTCACTCACTCTGTATCATCGGCACCATTATTTCCGCCTCCGACCTTTTTCCATTGCGTGGAATCAGAGATATTCCTTCCTTCCACCCTCTCTCTCTCTCTCTCTCTCTCTCTCTCTCTCTCTCTCTCTCTCTCTCTCTCTCTCTCTCTCTCTCTCTCTCTCTCTCTCTCTCTCTCTCTCTCTCTCTCTCTCTGTCACTTTCTCTCTCTCTCTCTCTGTCACTTTCTCTCTCTCTCTCTCTGTCACTTTCTCTCTCTCTCTCTCTGTCACTTTCTCTCTCTCTCTCTCTCTCTCTCTCTCTCTCTCTCTCTCTCTCTCTCTCTCTCTCTCTCTCTCTCTCTCTCTCTCTCTCTCTCTCTCTCTCTCTCCCCCTCCCCCTCCCCCTCTCCCCTCTCCCCTCTCCCCTCTCCCCTCTCCCCCCCCTCTCCCCCTCTCGCCCCCTCTCGCCCCCTCTCGCCCCCTCTCGCCCCCTCTCGCCCCCTCTCTCCCCCTCTCTCCCTTTCTCTCTCTTTATTGTTATCATCAAAATTGTTATTAATATAGTCACTGATATTAGAATTAACATTAGTATTATTGAAGTTATTATCATGTTATTAATGTTGTTGTTATTGGTATTATTGATAATATATTTTTTTTTTGCATTTGTTTTTTTGTTGTTGCTATCATTATTATTATTGTTGTCATACTTTTTATCTCTTTATTAATATTAACAATGATATTTATTTCTGTATTAATGTTAATGAAAATATATATGTATTTTATATGTTAGTCATTTTTATTATTATTGTTGTTATTATTGTCAATGCTGATATTAATATTGACGATGAGAATGGTAATGCTGATGTTGATTTTGATATCATCATCATCATTATTATTATCATTATCATCATCATTATCACCATCACTCTCACTGTCACTATTATTATTATTATGATTCTTCTTCTTATTATTATTATTGCTATTATCATTGTTATCATTATCATTGTCATTATTATTGCTATTAATATTGCTGTCATTGTCATCACCATCATCATGATAATTATATTGTTATTGTGTTGTCGGTGTTGTTGTTGTTGTTGTTATTGTTGTTCTTGTTATTAGAATTGTTATTAGCATTATCATCTCTACAAAAAGAGAAGGCTATGTTTCTGTTCAAATATATTGTTTAATTTGCTGGTTTCTAGATTCATTGGATGGTCTGGTTTATTATATAACCCAGAATTTAACAAATTAATAGGACAGGTATATGTGCGGACACATTGATCAGCGCAGCAAAATGGAGATAGGTAATGTCACAGGTATAGCTTTCTATGGCGGGTGACCAAACCTAGATTTCTATAGACCTTGCTAAAACCTTTAGAGAATAAAAGAAAGTAATGATTGCCCTTTAACTCTCCCCAGTTTGATCAATGAGACAGATCCAAAAAAGCCCCAGGTGTTGGAAATGGAGGTGTGTCACTCTCGTCACCTTAATATGTCGTCTATACATGTTTATGCTCAAGATGCCTCAGGACGCAAACTGGTTTCACTGGCACACACTCTTGATGCAAACACCCTCCCTTCGCCAGCCTCCCTCAAGTGTCAGAATGCCAGTGTAATGGTAAGATGGGATATGGTTTTTAAAGAGCATGCATATATATATATAGTATGTTTTATTTATTTTATTGCTGCTGTTTGTAAATTGATTTACTTAATACAGCTCCACTTTGTTACAATTTTTTGTATTTTTGTTTTTATAATTATTAATTATTATTATTATAGCTATGGTTATATTATGATATCATTTGTGTAATACTTTTGGATTTTCCTTATTTTATTCATCATTTTAACATTCCTTGCTATTTCTTGTTGGAACTGAAGCATGTTTTAGAAACATGTACCTTACCCTTAATATCCCAGAACCTTTACATTGGAATTATACAATGCCTGTTTCTAACACATATTTCTTTTTTCCTTAGGCAAAGAAAGTTGCAATGTGCAATATGAGTGATGGTGAAAGAGCAATGATAATCAAAACCGCTAAAGGAGACTGGGCCATTGTCATTGCCGCTTGGGAAGGTCTCAGGAGAGGCTTGCCTGGAACTTTATGTAAGGGTTAATTGATCATTGCAAAACCATGCTTACTTGGTGCAATATTCTTTTGACAGTTCCATTAAAGCAGCTGATTGATTTCTTTGATAGTTTAGTAAAGTGTATTTTTCCACACTAAATATGGACATGATGAGTATGTCCAATTAATTCCTGAAGAGTTTCTGAAAGAAATCAACCTTGATATTGTACCAAATTTGCTTACAAGTAGTAAATTTCCACATTCAATTTTTGATATGCATATTAGCAAGGTGAGAGTGTTTGTTTTACTCATCAAAAATATCTGTCAATATTTTAGGTAAAAAGTAATAGATAGTCAATATATAGTAGTCCAGATTAAGAGGACTATACCTGATGTGTGGATTCCAACAAATCATTTTGAATTATTATTTTCAAACATGCATATGCATAACAAAAATACCTAAGGAACTTTTTGGTTTTTACTTGTAATATGGGCAAAATTGGCTCCATATATAATGTCCTGTTTAGCAGTTTTCACAGTACCTGATATGCTATCTGTTCATAAGGGACTGTATTATTATATTACTTCAGTTGAAAGTAACTATGATTTTGAAATTAATATGAATAGAAAATACAAAAAAGTATTATAAATGCAAATAATTTCAAACAACATTTTTTTACCAAATTTAGCGCAGCTGTATCTATAATGTTGTCTAAATTATTTACAGTATATCTATTTTTGGGAAATTGTTATTTTAACAGTTTGTATGCCATTAGATAAGAATATGTCCAAACACTATGCTTTCACATCAAACATGAATGATTATGAATTACCCCCTCCAGTTTCTTTCACATTTTTTTGTCTTTTGCTTATAATCCCACACACTGATTTTTATACCCCTAATAATAGTAATGATGATATTTTTTTCTTTAATTGTTTAATTTTTTTCTTCAGTAATTTGATATGTGTTCAATATTCATTAGAATTTCATAAAGGACATATACTAACAGATATCAAAAGCTAGAATTACAATAATATGCCATATGAACCATTAGGATAGTAGTCACAGTGGCCATAGTTTCAGTTATTCCTTTATTATACTAATTCAGTACAGAAATTGGGCCATAATTCATAGGATGACTTCCTCAAGTATAAACCTGCAGTAATTAGAAATTACAAGTAACTCAGAATTACAGATTTCACCCCCCTCTAGGGGATGGTCCCTTTTACTCATTAGTTGCAGATTAATCCCTACAATCCGGATGACGTGACTATCGTATGTAAAAAAATTGGCATGAGGGGCAGGTGATGTGAACATGCCATCATGGGAAAATTTGGCTGAGGGCCAGGGTCATGGGATACTGCAGTCATGAGAATTTTGACTGAAAGGTAACAGGAATGATTCACCATGAATGCACAAGCTGTAGAAGGGTGGCTCCAAGGAGGACGTTATTTCTATATTCAGGATCCTATTCCTGCCTGCTGTGAATGGCAGTTCAGGTTGTAAGACAAAAAATTGTATATTTTGAATAACTTAAAAATTACACAAATAACAGAATGTTACTAAATGTTATTATTATTGCACTGAGTTTTGGACTACCTTGACAGATGGATATGGAGTCTGTGCAAGGAAAGCCATCTATTACCATCTGGATAAAGCAAATCAAATGAGAAATATAGTCCATGGAAAATGGCAAAAAAGCTAAAAAAGGATTATGCCAAAAAGAAATACATTGCTAAAGGGAGGCATTGAGTTTTGTCAAAAGCACAAAAGTCTGCCCAGCCTTCAAGCTGCACACCTATCAGAATGGCTGCTCACGTAAGCCTAATGCCAATATTTTCAGCCACGCACTGACAGTGAAGCATCCAGATCCAAGGGGTTAATAGACTACGCACTATTTTTTTGTGAATTTTATTGAGCACAGATGGTTCTTCAAATGCTCAGCCACCAAGGAATCAGTTATTAGGCCCTCATGGCTGCACCTGATTTTCCCATTTCTTGAATTTTCAGGAAAAATGTATTTTTCTATGATTCTATTAATGTTGATACTGATATTATTATTATTATTATTATTATTATTATTATTATTATTATTATTATTATTATTGTTATTATTATTATTGACAGTAGGATTATCATAATGTTATTAAGATAATAATAAAAATGTAAAAACAAAAAACAAACAAAAACAAAACTGAAAATCAAGGAAAAGTCTAAATAGGTTAGATAAGTAGGACTGATAGTTGACTTCTTGGTGACTGAATATTTATGGAGCCATCTATGTCTTAACACAATTAATAAACTGAAATTGCAGTGGGCATTTCAATTATTTCATGCCATTGGTGACCATTGGGTTAAAAATACAGTGTCACATTCATCAGATATTGTTTTGCATTGCTCCATGGTGAATATCTTTGGAGTAACACAGGACTACATGTTTTCTGTATGGTATGCATGTGTGTGTATACATTGCTAATAATTTTGTAACCAAATATGATTATTTTTACTTCTTTATTTACAGCAAGGCGCGGCATCCCTGGTAGCCCTGGACACTTGGTATTGAGAGTCCATTGTCCACCTTCTGCTCCAGCAACAATTATATCCTTGCCTTATGATCAGCAACTATATAGTTATAATCTTCAAGATCTTTATATTGACATGCAAAGTGGTATTTTTAAGGTAAGACTCTGAATGAGGTACTAGTGAACATTTTAGTTGATAACATGGAAGTTTTTCTTTAATTAGCTGTTAAAAGTACTACTGTGGTCACACTGATGCAATGCAATACAGTGGGAAGGGAAATGAGTGGGCAACTTTGTACTGTGGGACATGGGTAGATCATACTCACAGAAGATGTGGCATTGCTGCTATTCTGTGCAGTTTTGCAGGAAATTTGACAGTTATCTTTACTTGAACGAAATATGCTGCTGATATTAAATATTGAGAGTCTTATCACAGGTTCTTCAGACCCTGTGCATTTGAGATGCAGCAAATAAAATGAATAAGGATTGAATAGTTGCTGTTATGCATCAGAAGAGGATTTGAAAAAAAATATAAATATTTTCTTTCTTTTTTATAGAACAAAATATTGATAGGTTACTTATAGTGGCATGTCTCTTCTATGAAATTGTTCCTATTCTGGTTCATATCTAAAATATATGGTTGTCAATTACCTCATATATATGACAAAAAAATCATTGATTGGATTTCAAGAATTGATTTGGAGGAGACCATATGGAAGCTCATCTTCAGTTTATTGAGGGTTATGCAAGTGTTATTAACATATGTAAGGAATGTTGACTCTGCAAAATCAGATTTGCATTACAAATGAATTTTTGAAAATGAAAGGTAAATTTTTAATGAAATCTTCCCCACTCAAGTGGCAGTACACTAGTTAAATGAATACATAATGAAGTACAGTTATTTCATGTATTCACACTTTACTTTTATTTCCACAGAATTCATATTAAAAAAAGTCTTTCTAATAGTTGCAATTTGTCATTTGATGAAAGCAAAAACAAAGGAAAATAATGGTGGTGTGTGTTGCAATTTTCAGACTTACCTAACAATGCTGATGTTTACCTGGTCACCATGGAAATTCCTGCACTCACCTGCTACTGTTGTTGTTGCATTACATTCAGTGTGACTTCAGTAAAAAAAAAACACTACATAAAACATGTTTACTAAAAGACACAATAGTTTTAAAAGATTGAATTTTATCTTCAGACTTAAAATGAAGCCCAGGAGGATTTAAAATTTTGCATTTCTGTATAGGAAAAGAGGGTACAGTAAATGAAAATACCTCCTTTCTCATGCCTTATTAGCAATTTGGCTAAAGTAACATCTGTAAAGTCTCATTGTGGTAAACAAGTCTTTCTTGTTGCTTGATTGTAGCAGTGTGCAAGATGCTGGGTTAACCTGGGATGACTTCCAGCCCCAAGCTGAAGGACTTGCTTGGAGGAGTTGATCAGGGGAGAGTTATAGGTCTAGTAGCTCTCATTCTTTATAAATCCTGAGATTGCTACTTTGTTATCTCTTGTGAAACTAGAGGAACACTCTAGAACCACTTCCACTTCTAGTTGTGGCACTCTCATTAAACTATAGACACCCTTTCTAAAGGATATCCATTTAGTTGAGGCTTGTAGGTTTGCTTTTGCTATTCCATACTGAGGCAGAATTTATCTTGTTACACTGCTTACTAGGATATCAATTCTTCATAGATGAGGTGTGAGAATCTTACTTTGGTGAGAGTAAAAAGGTCTAACTCATGAAAAAGTAATAATAGAATGTAGAAATAAAAATCCATAGGGTTCTTTTAGAGAATGAAGCTAAGAGCATTATTTATATAGGAAATACATTCCAGATTTAATTTGGCTTGCATTTTTTCAACAGAACTTTTCTTTTCCTTGCAGGTAAATGAAAATACAAATGAGTGGATAGAGAATGTGACATTGGGTTTGAGTGTCACGGTATTACACATTCTGTGCCAACCCCGTCAATTGCCAGAAGACACAACAGATTCCATTGACAGTAAAAAGATGGTTGACCCTCTCAGGCTACCACGACGGATACCTGTAGAAAATCTAAAATTACTAGTTGCTCTGGGATTCTTCTCTGCATCAGCTCCTACTAATGCTTCCCGCAGAAAGAAAGTTAACGAAGATGCAGAGGATACAGCTACTGGATGTGCTATTGGCTTCATGGCCTGTGGAGGAGGATGTGGTTCATGTGGAGGCTGTGGGGGCTGTGGTGGCGGAGTGTATGCCACATTTGGAGCACCAGATTATAGTGGATGGGTATCGAGAACTGCAGTAGATGTAGGAGCTGATATGAATGTTGGAGAGGGAGATGGTGGAATGGATGCTTTTGCTTATATGTTCGGTAGTCTAGCAGGGGATGCGGGTGGTGGAGGAGATGGTGGTGGGGATGGGGGAGGAGGAGATGGCGGAGGTTGTGGTGGCTGTGGGGGTTGTGGGGGGTGTGGAGGGTAGATTTAGACTGTAATGAAAGATATTGTGATAGTAGTAAGGTGCCTTTTTGTCACCATTTTTACAGTTCTCAATAGATCTGCCTCCCAGCACACTCAGATCTTAATCTTGCAGGAAACATAATGTACACAGTAGTGACCTTATATTTCAGAACTTTGTTATAAACCTTCAAACAAAATTAAATGATGTGCCATTATAATGCCAGGTAAGGTTTGACTTTTTCTTGGATTTTTTTTTTCATAAGTGCCAGAGTAGATATCTTTTGTTAAATTTAGTTTCATACATTTCATATTCAGATAAAAGTGCAAGTGCTGAAATGCAGGTTATAGCATTTCACTGCTATAACACTGCTATATTACTTATGTATTGTATATAATGCTTAGAAATAAATTGCACTAAGTGCAATTTAGATATCAGTGGATAATGAATGTATATTGATTTATAATGGTTACTTCATCAATATTTTTATAGGAGTATGTGCCTGTTAATATTTGGGTACTTTCAGATGATTATTGTTTGTGCATGAAAAACAGTGCAAGACTGTGATGTAAGTTAGATTTTTTTTTACCCTTAACAAATGAACAGTTTAGTTCAGACAAAAGAATCACACTCTTTGGAAACACGGAAATTCCATAATATACTAGAAAAGAGAAAAAAATATTGGCATGTGCATATATCTTCCTGCATAGCAAAATCAGTATGAACAGATATGATATTTGTAGCTATTTTAATTAAAATTTTATTTTTGCGGGGTTTTATTTACTACGTAAAACTTAAAACTACTTTTTTTCTATATAGAAATCAATATGAACAAGAAGTTCTAGCCATGAAATTGAAATGATGAAGGCATATATTTTCATGAACAGTCAGTGTCAAGTTCTTCACATATTCTGAGTTGCTTCATTTACAATATTTTGATGTAAAAATATAAAACTTCTCTAATTCAGTATGAATTCCGAGAGCCTGACTTCATGATCCCTATTTTATTCTTAAGTACTGTTGCCCTAAGAAGTTCCTGCACCCTGTTGAGGAAACATTGCAGCATTAGCATGATCATCTGTGACTAAGTGGGCATTCATACTGTAGCAACGGATATGAGTAGTTGATATGTTTGCCAGATGTTAAAAGGGTAGGCAATTTTATGTAAATAGGGGACTGTACTTCACTGATCTTTAATCTGGACAGAATTGTGAGAGGCAACTAAACTTCCCATGCCTGGCAGATTAGTTCACTGATCAGTGTGGATTTGATTACATAATTATTTACAATGGTGTGCACTCATTCACACATGCACATACACTCCCTTCTCCACACACAAAATTCATTCTCTCTCTCTCTCTCTCAATCATGCACACACACAAAGAAAAAAAAAATCATAGGCAAAATCCACCACACACAAAATCTCACACATACATACAAAATCCCCCCCCCCCCCCCCCACACACACAAAATTTCACACACACACACACACACACACACACACACACACACACACACACACACACACACACACACACACACACACACACACACACACACAAGCAATCACACACACACAAGCAATCACACACACACACACACAAGCAATCACACACACACACACAAGCAATCACACACACACACACACACACACACACACACACACACACACACACACACACACACACACACACAATCACACAATCACACACACACACACAATCACACACACACACACACACACACACACACACACACACACACACACACACACACACTCACACACACGCAATCACACAAACGCAATCACACACACGCAATCACACACACAATCACACACACACGCAATCACACACATACACATGCATGCAATCACACACACACACGCAATCACACACACACACACACACACTCAATCACACACACACACACACACACTCAATCACACACACACACACTCTATCACACACACACACACGTAATCACACACACACACGCACGCAATCACACACACCCACACACGCAATCACACTCACACACACACACGCAATCACACTCACACTCACACACGCACACGCAATCACACACACACACACGCACTCACACACACACACACACACACACACACATGCACGCAATCACACACACACACGCAATCACACACACACATGCAATCACACACACACACGCAATCACACACATACAATCACACATGCAATCACACACACACACGCAATCACACTCACACACGCAATCACACTCACACGCACGCAATCACACACATGCACGCAATCACACTCACAAACACACACGCGCAATCACACACACACGTGCAATCACACACACACGCACGCAATCACACACACACACGCGCAATCACACACACGCACGCAATCACACACACACACACAATCACACACACGCACGCAATCACACACACACGCAATCACACACACACACGCAATCACACACACACGCGCAATCACACACACACGCAATCACACAATCACACACACGCAATCACACAATCACACAATCACACACACACACGCAATCACACAAACACACACGCACACATGCAATCACACAAAATCATAAACAAGTGCGCTTTCTAGTCACATAAAATTACACAGAAAAAAAGGTAAATCACACAAATGTATATCCCATCTTCAGAAAATACTTATGCAATTTAATTTGGAAAAAGAAATATTTTTTTTTTTCATTTTCAAATTTTATTAAATTACATTGTCAAAATCATGATAACATGTAATGAAAGACTGAAAAATACAAAATCTTCAAATATGAATATGATGTTATAAAAAAAATTGGATATGTAAGCAAAAATCAATAATCATATAAAACAGATGTAGATGATAAAAGAAAACAAAAATAAAATTCACACTACATCAAAGCATTGGATAATTAAAGGAAAGGTGAGTCATTCTGAAGAGTAAATACAACAGTAACTGGAAGGAAAGGATTATATAAGGAAGTAATGAAATTAAATGTAATACCTTAATAATTAAAGTCTTGAAGACTAGATAATGTGGCGAGTCTCACATATTTTATGAAATGTAATGAAAATGCCCAAGTGTTAAAATTCAGCTTGTATACAAGCTGGTATATAATGCTGGAATAACTGCTACCTGTTACCAGGTGTTGGCTCGACTGAAATGGTGCAAATATCAACATTGCTGTTACATCCTTTATCTCTCTTACACTAACCTAACACATTATATACAAAAAGAAAACTTTGAGCAGAAAGCATTAGCCAAGCAAAAGTGGCCAAACAAAGACCCTGTTCATGTTCTTATCTTTGTGGATAAGTAAGTGGTAAGACATTTCCTTGAATGAATTTTGTTTCCAGGCAACATAACTATTAAGAAGAGAAAGAAGTCCTGTCTATTTTTGTTTTATGCTGGACTGAAGACGGACTGCAGCACTGTTCGAGTGATTGATAGTGGAGAGCTGGAAAGACAATTTCCCATCTGGCATCTGGAAAATATAGTAAATCAATTGTTATAAAAACCCCATATCTGGTGTTGGATCAGATTATATTACATTATTTCTTTCATGATATTGTGGTACTATATTCCTTCACCACAATCTATACTATTCCAAAGAATTAAATACAAATATAGTAAACATTTTAATTAGTATACAGTAATAATACTAAATGAGATGTAAAAACAAAAGAATGAGCTAGAATCAGATGAGAGCAAAATACAGAGAGGAAAAAAGAGAAAGGCAGAAATGAAGGAAAGCAGGAGTAGAGGAGTGAAAAAAGAGAGGAAAAGAAAGTGAGAGAGAGTGAGAAGAGGGAAAGAGAGAGAGAGAGTGAGAAGAGGGAAAGAAAGTGAGAGAGAGAGAGTGAGAAGAGGGAAAGAAAGTGAGAGAGTGAGAAGAGGGAAAGAAAGAGAGAGAGAGTGAGAAGAGGGAAAGAAAGAGAGAGAGAGAGTGAGAAGAGGGAAAGAAAGTGAGAGAGTGAGAAGAGGGAAAGAAATTGAGAGAGAGTGAGAAGAGGGAAAGAGTGAGTGAGAAGAGGGAAAGAAAAAGAGAGTGAGAAGAGGGAAAGAGAGAGTGAGTGAGAAGAGGGAAAGAAAGAGAGAGAGTGAGAAGAGGGAAAGAAAGTGAGAGAGAGTGAGTGAGAAGAGGGAAAGAAAGTGAGAGAGAGTGAGAAGAGGGAAAGAAAGTGAGAGAGTGAGAAGAGGGAAAGAAAGAGAGAGAGAGAGAGAGTGAGAAGAGGGAAAGAAAGTGAGAGAGAGTGAGAAGAGGGAAAGAAAGAGAGAGAGTGAGAAGAGGGAAAGAAAGTGAGAGAGAGTGAGAAGAGGGAAAGAAAGAGAGAGAGAGTGAGAAGAGGGGAAAAAGTGAGAGAGAGAGTGAGAAGAGGGAAAGAAAGAGAGAGAGAGAGAGTGAGAAGAGGGGAAAAAAGTGAGAGAGAGTGAGAAGAGGGAAAGAAAGTGAGAGAGAGTGAGAAGAGGGAAAGAAAGAGAGAGAGTGAGAAGAAGGGAAAAAAGTGAGAGAGAGAGTGAGAAGAGGGAAAGAAAGAGAGAGAGAGAGAGTGAGAAGAGGGGAAAAAGTGAGAAGAGGGAAAGAAAGTGAGAGAGAGAGAGTGAGAAGAGGGAAAGAAAGTGAGAGAGAGAGTGAGAAGAGGGAGAGAGAGAGAGTGAGAAGAGGAAAAAAGAGAGAGAGAGAGAGAAGAGGGAAAGAAAGAGAGAGGGAGAGTAAGAGGGAAAGTGAGAAGAGGGAAAGAAAGTGAGAGAGAGTGAGAAGAAGGAAAGAAAGTGAGAGAGAGAGAGAGAGAAGAGGGAAAGAAAGTGAGAGAGAGAGTGAGAAGAGGGAAAGAAAGGGAGAGAGAGAGAGAGTGAGAAGAGGGAAAGAAAGGGAGAGAGAGTGAGAAGAGGGAAAGAGAGAGAGTAAGAGGGAAAGAAAGTGAGAGAGAGTGAGATGAGGAAAGAAAAAGAGAGAGAGTGAGAGGGAAAGAAAGTGAGAGAGAGTGAGAAGAGGGAAAGAAAGTGAGAGAGAGTGAGAAGAGGGAAAGAAAGGGGGAGAGAGAGAGTGAGAAGAGGGAAAGAAAGGGGGAGAGAGAGAGAGAGAGAGTGAGAAGAGGGAAAGAAAGGGAGAGAGAGAGTGAGAAGAGGGAAAGAAAGGGAGAGAGAGAGAGAGTGAGAAGAGGGAAAGAAAGGGGGAGAGAGAGACAGTGAGAAGAGGGAAAGAAAGGGAGAGAGAGAGAGAATAGGGAAAGAAAGGGAGATAGAGAGTGAGAAGAGGGAAAGAAAGGGAGAGAGAGTGAGAAGAGGGAAAGAAAGTGAAAGAAAGGGAGAGAGAGTGAGAAGAGGGAAAGAAAGTGAGAGAGAGAGAGAGAGTGAGAAGAGGGAAAGAAAGGGAGAGAGAGAGAGAGAGAGAGAGAGAGAGAGAGAGAGAGAGTGAGAAGAGGGAAAGAAAGGGAGAGAGAGAGAGAGAGAGAGAGAGAGAGAGAGAGAGTGAGAAGAGGGAAAGAAAGTGAAAGAAAGGGAGAGAGAGTGAGAAGAGGGAAAGAAAGTGAGAGAGAGTGAGAAGAGGGAAAGAAAGGGAGAGAGAGAGAGAGAGAGAGTGAGAAGAGGGAAAGAAAGAGAGAGAGAGAGTGAGAAGAGGGAAAGAAAGGGAGAGAGAGAGTGAGAAGAGGGAAAGAAAGGGAGAGAGAGAGAGTGAGAAGAGGGAAAGAAAGGGGGAGAGAGAGAGAGTGAGAAGAGGGAAAGAAAGGGAGAGAGAGAGTGAGAATAGGGAAAG